GTTGGATGTGAGTCCCAGTGCTTTCCTTCCTAACGTGACTAACATATTTTTTCCGCTACCACTTGAGTTGGATGTGAGTCACAGCGCTTTCCTCCTTAATGTAGCAGATGTTTTCCTACTACCTCTTGAGTTGGATGTAAATCACAGTGCTTTCCTCCTAAATGTAGTTGATAATTTTCTCATCACCTCTTGGGTTGGATGTGAGTCCCAGTGCTTTCCTTACTAATGTGATGGATATATTTCCCGCTACCACTTGAGTTGGATGTGACTCACCGCGCTTTCCTCCTCAATGTAGCAGATATTTTCTTCATCACCTCTTGAGTTGGATGTGAGTCTCAGTGCTTTCCTTCCCAACATGATTGATATATTTTCCCTCTACCACTTGAGTTGGATGTGAGTTTCGGCTCTTTCCTCCTCAACGTAGCAAATATTTTCTTCGTCACCTCTTGGGTTAGATGTGAGTTCCAGTGCTTTCCTTTCTAACATGACATATATATTCTCTCTATGACATGTCAGTTCGAATATAACTCCCCAGTGGTAACTCGAACTAGTATAGTCCTTTCTTTCTGGTGTAATATCCTTAATGGTTGCCATCTTCTACACTATTGTTACCTTTTCTAGTCGGATGTGAGCCTCTGTGCCTTCCATCTTGATTTGGTCCTCCCACTCAATCCTAATCTCTGAAATTATCAATGTTAAAATAGAAATTTAAAATCAAAATTAAACACTGAATTTGGAATCGGGTCTCCTCCTTAATCATCAGTTTTCTCGACGGTCCTTTGCGGAGTCTCTTTGCTTTTCCCCAGCAGAGAGTATATGTTGCTCCTCGACGGAAACAATAGTTACTCTATTATACACTACTTCCGGGTCTGTTGACTTAAGAGTTTATATTAGTTTTGTTGATCTTGTCGGTCAACGCCAATACGCGCGGTGTGTTTGCCCAACACACCACACCTACTGGGGGTCCATTTGTTGACCTCACTTTTAGTTGAAGTTTAGTTTTTCCACTTTAGTAACCTAAGGTCTAGCCATAGGACTTTCCTATTGAATATTCTTAGAAAACTAGAAAAGTAACCCTCATCATTAGAAATTTCAAACTCTTCTCTACTCAACTTGAAATTCCACATATTAGTCCTAACCTCCAGCACTTAGTAGGTGGGGTCATTATGGGGGAACTCGAGATGAGTCACCCTTAGGACTGCTGGACCTTAGGGTTGACCCTGGGTGTTGGTCTAGGTCTTAAGGTACATACTTGCACTCACAATCACTCACAATCCTAAACTTAAATTTCTAGGCTTTGGTCCCTTGATACTTTTGTGAGAGTCATGTAGGTGGTCCCCTAAACTCACTAGCCCTAGGCTAGGGTTTAGCTAAGACTACTACTTAGAGGACCCAAAATGGGGTTTCCATTGGTCCATTGCTTATTGATGGTGGTTGGCACTCCAACTCTACCAAGATACCCAACCTAGCCTTTTGCCCCTAAACTCCCTCAAATTACCTAGATACCCTTGGGACCCCAAATTT